TTTGTGTGTTTTTTTTGAGTAGGGAATCATTTTTTTTTTTTTTTTTGCTATCTGCATTTTGTTGGTATGATTTCCCCTTACTCCCTGCCCCAGAAACTCAATGAAAGTCAGAAAAAATGTTTCCAAACTGAGGGCAAGTTCTTACCAGAGGTGTATCCATTAGAAGATCTGCCCTCTTGTTCCAGCGACAACTGTAACATTTTGGATTTCCCATCATTCTCTGCCCAGGTAACAATAGTCAATAAGATAAAATGAGAGTGCTGTAGTCCAAGATGGACTACAATCTCAATACAAATTAATAAACTAAACGTAAGATTGTATTCCATCACAGCAGAGAGCTTGGAGTGGTGGCTACTTTACAACAGTGAGTCTTTAAGGGGCAGCATTGGAGAAGATGAAGTGAGTGTTGCAGTGAAAAATGCTTTTTACTTTCAAATGTGCACCACAAAAAGCTGGGTTTTTAAGTAAACTATATGGTGGCTACGATTTATGAACATTAGTTAGTCATGACTAGACTTCTGCAGAAAGCTGAATATTCATTCTTAAATAATTATGATACTTATATTTGTTCATTTTATATTGTGAATGGTTTATTTTTTTCCCCTAATTTGCACATTTGAAAATTAAAAAGGATCTTTCACTGCAACACTTCTCCATTGCTTTCCCCTGAAGACTCACTGGTCTGTGGTGGCCATCTCCTAGGCTGAAAAGTTACCTTATAGTTTGCTGACACCTGCAGCAAACTAGCTGCCTGTACATTAACATGATGATATAGTGATTGATGCCAAAAGAGCCACACAGTGGTTCTGTTACACAGATCTGGACCTTAGCTGTCAAACTGATAGTGGCATGGCATTTTGTGTCCAGTCGCGGGAACTCTATGATGTACAAAGTATATGCTAGATCCTTAATTAGTTGCGATTTCACAACATGTTATAATTCACATTTTTTCTAATTTGTTCTAAGTACAGTACTAATTGCAACAGAAATCCCCTGATTGCTGCAGAAGAGTAATTATGACTTATTTTAGTGTTGAATCAGTTTTTATTAGCATTTTCTTAAACAAGTTTCATAACATTCAGTAGCAAAATTCAAGAAGGACAAAAAAAACAACAACATCCTGACATCAGGAGGCATGATAAAGCTAAGGCAGTTCTTGGTTACTCACACAACAATGTAGAAAGGGTCCTCATCACTATGGACATATTCACAAAAGGTATGGTGGGACTCTAGCCGGCATAGTCAGGTGTTGTAGCTCGTGTCTACACCGCTTAATACCTTCTCCTAACTAAAATTTCAATCATCCTGATACGTTAGGAAAGTTGTAGAAAGGGAGGGAAGAAACCAGATAGAGGAGAATTGAGAAAGGAATGAAATAAGGAAATAAAAGAAGGGGGGGCAAGGGGATTAGGGGAGGGGGGGTCACGGTTCATTGATTTAGGTTGTGTATCTCGTTTTGCGGCATCTCAGTCACCGCCCGGGGTTATGACTTATTTTCTTATATCTGAATCCTTCAGTGTTTTTGTAACCCCTCAGGATTTTATTACCAAGATGTCTGGAAGTCTCTGATCTGCTCCAATGAACCATTTGATGATCATATTAGAGCAGCAAATTGCCTTGCTGGGAAGATGGTCTACATGTTTGGAGACTCTACACTGCGGCAATGGTGGGAATACCTAGTGGATTTCATACCAGGTATGTCACAAAGCAGGGAACAAGTAGAAACCGTGTTAGTTTATTTCTTTCTATTTGTGTCCTTTTGGGAAGATTCCCCTTGGCTTCTGTGATGGAAATAAAGACACATCTCCAATAGTGATCAAATACAGCAGAGACGAATTACAGTTGGCTCCATCCTTCCCGAATGCTACAAATAAACAGAGTTATTCACAAAAGGGTGAAGATTTTGGAGAAGGCAGAAGAGGTGAACAATCTAGGACAACATAACTGAACTGGAAAGAGAGCTAAATTAGAGAATCTTTCCAAATCAGCTATTTTGGCCTAGATTGTTCACTTCTCCGGCCTTCTCCAAAACCATTCACCCTTCAGTGAATAACCCTGAAGTGTTTTATTTCAATGGTGTATCTGTTAAGAGGAAATGCCCTTACTTCCTGTTTTGGTGATGATAATTCCACACATAGCAACAGGCAGCAAAAAAAAGATGTAGATATACTTTAGCCGTTGTCCTAATATATTAATGGTATCTTACATTTTATCTCCAAAATAATTAGCTTTGAAGGAGATCAATCTTCATGTGACTCACAACCCAGGTCCGCTGTTAGCCACTGATGCAGAATTCAATTATTTGGTCCAGTGGAGAGCCCACCAGAAACCTTTACGCATGGGACCTGTTGCAGTGCATGATCTACACTACATTGCTTCAGAGTTGGATAGATTGGGGAACCGCAAAGGGATGATCATTGTGTTAACGTGCTGGTCCCACTTCCTTACCTATCCTGTTGGACTCTACATCCGAAGACTACATTACATCCGAGAAGCCGTAGCTCGGCTGTTAGAGCGCAGCCCAGAGACAAAGATCCTCATCAAATCAGCCAATACTGGTTACCGATTTGACCATGGAAGTGACTGGTTATCATTGCAAGCTGGACACTTTAATGAGGGCTATGTTCTCTAAGCTACCAGTTACTATTCTTGATGTTTGGCAGATGACCATCTGCCACCGAGAACCTGAAAATATCCATCCTCCCAAGGTCATTATTAAAAATGAGGTAGACTTGATGCTTTCATTTATATGTCCTTAGTAGGAATTTGGGGCATATTTTTTAATATCTCTTTGGAACACATTCTACATTATGCTATACCTACCTCTCAGTGTAAACTTGTATGTTTATTTATTTAAAAATAAAGTAATGTATTTTTAGGTGAATTTAATTTTTTTAAGTAAATTTTATTTTTTTAAGTGAATGTAGTTAGCATTGAGGAATTAGAATTATGTTGAAGTGGACCTTTTGAAACCTTCCTTAAAGGGCAACTTCACCTTTAGTAAAGTTGCAACTCAATAAACCCCCCACATCCCTGAGTGCACCCCACCCGGGATATAAATGACCTTCGTCCCTGATCCATCAATATTTTCTCTGGCCAGCAGAACCCTTTTCTTACTCTGATTGAAAATTGACCTACGTGTTGTGGCCCCATTCAGTTCTGTGATTTGGGCATACTCCAAGAAACCGCTAGATGCTGCCATAAGTACACCTACTTACAGGAATGAATAGGGCCTTGGAACATATACAGTATGAAAGGGAGCTGGCCAAGATCTTGATAGAGAAAATATTACTGCATTGGGGAGGAAGGTATATATGTATCCTCCTCCAGTGTAGCCACCTGGAGGAGGAGCATTTGTGCAGGCACTTCCTGTTATAGGGCGACAACACCACATCCCCCGACCATTATTTTTGTTTATGCGATATTACCCTGTCACAATTTCCCTATGAAGACCAGAAGCAACTGAGCCGACAGACATCGCACAGACATGTTCCACTGCTGTCACTATCAGGAAACCCATCCTAAAAAATCCTGCCATGTATTTTTAAGATTTAACTACTTGGCCTGGATGGGAAGGGGGTTTAACACCGCGGATGTCAACTGGTTAATGTCGTTTTAACTGATCTATACACAACATAAGGATTTAGGTAAATGTGTTTGCAGATTCCTTCTGTTCTTTTACTTTTTATTGATCCCTTGCCATGTCCTTTCTTACTCTGATTACAAAACGGGGAGGGTCTTCCTTCTTTATAAACAACTGAGCAATCTAACTTTTCTAATGAGAAAAGCTACAGTGGCTTCATCCCTTTAGACCTGGGTTAGTCTTGGAAAGTATTTCACAAAAAAATATAACTTATGAAGGGTGAAGCCTGAAATTTGACTTACCTCTGCAAAGACTTTGGGAAAAAGCATCCAGCCGAAAAAAAATCTGTGCGAGTACTGTAGACATACAGTACACAAAGTGCTTAAACTTCCATATTACAGGCAATAACTTTCTGTGCTTGCTGCCTGTGCTGCCTGTTATCAGTTAGCATTGTTCTCAGCTCTCCTTCTGTGGATTACAATCTCCAACCCATGTTATGAAGATAATGAAAGGGGTGTTTTGTAGCCCTGTTCTAGGGTGACAATGTTGCATCTTTATAGATCTCAGTGAGTGAACGTTGTCACCCTGGTACATGAAGTGCATTACTTGCAGGATCACCAGGTGATGAATAAAGGGGAAACAGACAAAAAAATAATGCAGCCACCACATCTAAGGATTGGTAAGTAGCCATTCATTGTTTTTGGTAATGGGTTAAGAAACATTGTACATAAATTATTAGCAATTGTTTTTCTTACACAGGTTATTGTAGTGGAAGTGTAGTTTTTTGTTTAGCAAAAAAAAAATTGCCCTTACTTTTCCAAAATAAGTTTGCTCATACATTGCCCAATAGACAGATCTGCATTATTCCTGTACACGTCTTCGTTATGCTCAGCACTGACCAGAATCTTCCACTTCCTCATGTGACATTTGGGTCTGGCACTAAGACATAGGCAATGTAGTAGGTGCCTCATGTATTCCTTTATAACTGGAACTCTCAGATATTTCTCAGGGCTCCAGTGTTAGGCTATGGCAACCAAGGAAAACTAAAGCATCCCCTTCCATGTTTGATTGTGAGGTCATCAACGGCAGACAAATAACCATTATTACAACCGGTGTGCATATCATTGAACAATACAGGAGACTTATTTTTAAAATACTACTTATTTTTTATTTGCTCATTTTCTGAGCAATAATTAACTTTTTTTCCTGTCACTTGGAAGAATCATTGAACACACTGTACATGAGTAGAGATGAGGCTGGTCTGGGGTGAACTCGAGTTTGCTTGAGTTAGCCCAAGTCCGCTCAACCCTATGACCGCCACCCCCTATTATCAGCCCAATCCTTGGTGGCAATTGTGGCTCGGGCATCCCCACATATCAGTGATGTATAACTGCGTGGTGGGGAATGTGCCTTCCTGCAACTGATTGGGTTGGGGGAAGGGAGTGTTGGTCAACATTTTGAACGTGCTTGAAAGAACTCTTGTGCATTTGCACCAAGCCCAGCCTCATCGCTATACACGAGGAATCTAAAGTTTGTCAGATTGTTTATCTCCGATCTGTGTAGACAGCACAACCCATCTCTTTCAAACACAATAAGGTCCATTATTTTGTATTGCTTCCCTTGTATGCATATATATATTTCTGTATGGCTGACTTGATCTCTTGGTTCCTCAAGCTGTATATTATGGGGTTCAATAATGGAGTGACCACGGTGCACATCAGCGAAACCACCTTGTTCATCGTCAAAGATTGCTGTCTCGAAGGCACCACATACATGGCAAACAGTGACCCATAATAGGAACATACAACTGCAAGGTGGGAACTACAAGTGGAGAAGGTCTTCTGTCTCCCGCTGACTGAAGTGATCCTCAAAATGTTCAAAAAAATACAGACATATGTGGCAATGATGAACAAGAATGGTATAACTGTCACAAGGCTGGATAGTGCAAACACCATGTACTTTGCTACAGATACATCAGAGCAAGACAATTGCAAGAGGGGGTCAAAATCACAGAAAAAATGGTCAATCACATTGGGGCCACAGAACCACAAGGTTTGCATGATAAATACAGGGATGAGTGTTGCAGTAAATCCCAGTAACCAGGAAAATACAACCAGATATAAACAACGTTTCAGGTCCATAATTGTGGTGTAGTGAAGGGGATTACATATAGCCAGATAGCGGTCATAAGACATAACGGTGAGCAGAAGACACTCCATGCACGCTGAGCCACCATACACTAAATACTGAGTGATACAGTTTCTAAGGGACACAGTGCTACCCCCCATTAACGTTACATTGAGCATACTGGGGACAATATTTGATGTTAGCAGGACATCTGAGAAAGACAAGTTACCGAGGAAAAAGTACATTGGTGATTGGAGACGATAATTAGTTGAGACCAATAAGATGATGATGATATTTCCAGTTATGGTCATCAGATAGATGACTAAGAATAAAAAGAAAATAAAATACTTAACATCTTGAAGGTCTCCAAATCCAAGGATTTTTATTTCAGAAATGTGTGTCCTGTTCATTGCATGTGCTGTAAGGGAGTAAAGAAAATCATAATATAACAAATTTACACACACACAATATAAATAAATAAATATATATATATATCAGCCTATTACTCTAACCAGCCCTTTCAAAGAATAGGCCTGCATGCAAGGCCTTCTCTTTGCATGCCAGTGCCACTGTATGCAGTTTGGCAGTAGCTGCCTGGAGCTGGAACTGTGTCTACATAATTACAGCCATGACATCATCCAACTAGTAGAGAAGCAGCGGGGGTCATATAGTGTGTACAAATCCAACTGCTAACAAATGATGCTGGGGGGATTGCCTAATCTGATACTAAGTATATCACTGATACTAAGCATTGGGCACTATTTACCCCGCTGACACCAACTAAGGGGCACCATTCCTCTTATTCACACCAACAATGGGGCACTATTTCTACCATTGACACCAACAATGTGCCACTATTCCTCCCAATGACAACATCAATGGGGCACTATTCCTTCCACTGATAACAACTAAGGGACACTATTCCTTCCACTGATACCAACTAAGGGGCACTATTCCTTCCACTGATACCAACTAAGGGACACTATTCCTTCCACTGATACCACCTAAGGGGCACTATTCCTTCCACTGATACCAACTAAGGGGCACTATTCCTCCCAATGATACCAGCTAAGGGCCATTGACTACTGATGCAGGAGCATTTTTTTACTTTTAATGGCACAGGGCATTTTTTTTGACAACAGTCCCTGAGGCATTTCCTACTCTGGCTAATGCAGGACTATTTTCAAACAAATAATAATACTTATTGATAATATTAGGCTTTTTTAATGCCCCCAAATGTGATGATTGCTTCAGTGTTGTATTTTTCCCCACAACACTCTGCTCCTAAAATTCCTTTTCTACTTTTCTGATTAGACTACTACAGGGAAATCCTATACAGCGTCATATATCCTTCTGCGTGGTAAAACAACCTCTGCCCCTGGATTCCATCTTAATCTGTGACTGAACTTTGGGATATCACACCTTATTACATTATGTCCTCAAAATGGGTACTGAAAGAAAATGACAACTCCTCCCCCCCCCCCCCCCCTCCATACAACAACCCTCATATTTCCCTCACATTGCAAAATATCTTTGAGTTTTCATTTTTATATAATCCTAGAGATCTTTATTTTTTGAATATATACAACACTCAAACTTATATTCTTTCTCAGTAACATGTCTGCTGTTGCCGTGTTTGGGGTGCTATTAACAAGTAATGGCGATGCAAATTCGAAACTATTGCGTGAACGTGCATCAAAGCACGCACACACAATGCGATTGTTCGAACAGGGCAATGCACTTCCCTTATTTGGTCTGTTAAATATACAGTTGAAGAGTTTTGTTATATCTGTTTGATAACAAAAGAAAAACTGATCGGAATTTTGCCAGTTGATAACATCCTGTGCTCTTGCCTGTGACACACTATAATCAGTTACATTATTTCCAGTTATCTCTAAGCACTACAAAACCCATCCCATCTATGTTTTGGAGAAAAATAAATGGGAGAGGTTTGTGCCATCCTTGGATGACAATGTTGCTTCTCCATAGATACAGTACAGTGAGTAAGCATTCTCACCCTTGGACAGGAAATGTGTTCCTAGTAGGATCACCAGGAATATAAGAGAAAAGGAAGAATCAGCCACCATGACAGGCTACCTGTGTAGTTCAGGCAGCCTGTGTAGTTCAGGCAGCCTGTGTAGTTCAGGCAGCCTGTGTTGTTCAGGCAGCCTGTATTCCTGGCTACAGCCCTGTCTGGTGTGGGTTAATTATCCTGTCTCTGTGTGTCTTGCTGGCTGCAGCACTAGACTAGTCAGCTGTGGCTTAATGAATCTGACCACACACCTCCAGCCCTGGGATTGGCTTTGTATGTGGTGGCTTCCTTTTTAGCATTTAAGCATCATCAACCAGTGCCTCTTTGCTTGTGACAGTTCTTGCTACATGATCCATATATGGTCTCTGCATATTTAGTCCCTGTAAATCTTGTCTGTGCAGTTCTGTCCCTGGATTACTCTTTGCCTGCTGCCAGCCCTTACCTCAGCTTGTGCCTGGATTACTGTTGCCAGCGGCCTGTCCTGACCTCAGCCTGTGCCCGGATTACCCTTCGCCATCCACCAGCCTTTGACCTCAGCTCATCTCTGGATTACTCTCTGGCTGTGTCTTTCGTCTTCTCTCTGTACCTCTGTACCTCTGTTCGGTACCTGGGGCTGGCCTGTGGCATCACTCGGTCAGAGCATATAGTCTAAGTCCTGGGGTCATCCAAGTAATGGTATGTGCAATTGCCTTATGGGAACAGCGGCTGCTATAAGTGAAAAAACTCTATTTGCTCTGATTGTGTGAATCTGAAGCTGGTTCTGACACAGTCACACAGCACATCTAAAGACTGGCCTTGGGTAACAAAGATGTAATTGCTTGTCTGAAGAATGCCAGATAAGTCAAATATATTTTTTTATGTAACCAAATATCTTTGTTTTTACCAAATAGATACATATTTTAACTCATTATTTGGTATTTACCAATTGCAATGAGTGCTACTTGACAGTCTGAAATAAACTCAAACCCTGCTTCACTACAAGACAAGAGCTATGAATTCCCTAACAAGGTTTACCACTCCTAGAAGTGGTGGTAAGGTGACAGTGGAAGAGAACATTGATCTAGAGGTGTGTAAATAAGAATTTAGCATTTTTAACTTACTTTTTTTGGCTTGGTGCCCCCCTTTCCTTTCCACTTTGTCAACTGAATATAATTCTAGTAAAGAAGCAGAGCTTGGGGAGCCAACTCAGGGGGTAACATCAGCTGATGGGAACATCAATAAGACATGTTTTTACCTCTGCATTCAGGTAGCTGGGAGCCTGGACATTAAAAACTGTAAAGTTGTAGTGGAGATATATATGGAGAGGAAGGGGTGAGAGAGCAGGAACATGAGAGTAAGAAAAGACAGCACATGAGATACAGTAGATAGATAGATAGACTGGAAGTCAGATATGTTGAGTAATCCTACATGTTCATGGATTGAGGGTTTTTATAAATACACAGGTTCTTTCAAACCTAATGTATTTCAAACTGTAAATTCTCTATGGATTAATTTATATTCTCAGTCCCCAGCACACCGTGACTACTCCCTTGGGAAACTATGAATTATTTAACTATTTTTTTTTAGCATGGAATATAGCGTAGATAAACAAACCATTAGGTTCTTTAGTCTGCATGTCCTAATTGTTAACTATCTTGTCATAAGTTGAAGTATAAGGTAAACATTAAGGAAAACATACTAAAGAAAAAATACTGAAACAGTACAACTTTAAGACTTTGTTAAGTTTGCCATCATTATGGTTTTGAAACAGACGGTCCAGATATTATAACTGGTTCTTTAAAGAAGAAGTTTAATCTGTGTCACGTACTTGATGAATGCTTAGCGATGTGGGATGTCCCTTGTACCTCCTGTCCAGCAATCCCTGGAGTTGAGACAGGGTTATTGTGAGCATGAAGAAGAATGATTGCCTGTAGCTAGCTCAGAAGCAGCAGGCTCAGAGGCAAGCTGAAGGTCAAACACAGCCAGACAATGCAGGTACCCAAGGAGTAAGCCAGCAACGAAGTTGTAAAGCAAGCCAGGGTCAAGCAGAGCCAGGAAGAGAAGGTACAGGACAGCAACCAGGAAATGTAGTCAGGATCAGGAACGGATTTACTTTCTCTGCTGCCCTAAGGCCAGGTTCCTCAATGCACCCCCTCTCTCCACAACGGGCTGCAGGCTGCATTCAAGTGATCCCGGCGACATTGCCGAGATCACTTGTACAAAATGAGAGGCGGCTTCCCCGCTCTACATTTAGCCCTGCTTGCCAAAAGCAGGGCTAAATGTAGAATAAAACATGTCCAGGGCATCGGGATATGGGAATTCCACAATCCTGCTGCCCCTCTATTCCCTGCTGCCCCAAGGCCGGGCCTCAGTGGCCTTGTGAGAAATCCGTCCCTGGGTGGATACAAAGCCTGAGTCAGAAGCCATGGGATAGAGATATTGTCAAAACATGCTGGGTCAAGTCAAAGGAGAGCACACAGGTCAGATCACAGGAAGCAGAAGCTGAAGACCACGCAACAACCTTCTCTGCTGAGGCTCAGGTTTAAATAGGCATTCCACGCCTAATTAATTAACCACATACCCTGTTTCCCCGAAAATAAGACCTACCCCGAAAATAAGACCTAGTGCTATTTATGGGAATCGCTAAAATATAAGACCTACCCCAAAAATAAGACCTAGTTGTGACCATTCCCAGGGCCGATGGTGGCATAAGGGGGAACTTGAAGAGCTGCAGGAGAGGCAGGAGAGAATCAGCGGTGCCAACGAAGCCAGCGCTAGAGGAAGCGAGGCAGCACCGGAGGGAGCAGAGCCGCATAAGCCGATGCCTCCTCTATAGCGCCGGCTCCTGTCACAGGCGGAGTGATACCAAATGCACTCCGCCTGCGAGGAATCTATAGTGAAAGCGCACTTCACTTATTCTGGCCAGTGATTGGTTACTAAATTGCTCTTGGAAAGGTACAGGGTAAACACCCCTGATTGCCCTGATCACCCTATTCTTAACTTTGCCATTTTGGATTATTTAATTTGGATTTGCATTAACTTTGGATTGTTTTTACATTAAAAATAAAATAAAACCTAACCCCGAAAATAAGACCTAGTGTGTTTTTTTGAGCAAAAAAAAAAAATATAACACAGTGCCTTATTTTCGGGGAAACACAGTAATTCCAGGCACCATTGCATTAGCCAACATAGACCTTCAACATGGACAACATCTACACGCATTCCTGCAGGTAGAGGTGTTTGTTTGGCTATGTGCATGTGCATATCCTTGCACATTACTCTGAAGATTCTAGGTGAAAGTGCTGTGATGGTGAGAGTAGAAGTGTATATGTAGAAAGGGAAAGAATGTAACTCTTGGCTAGGATTGTCTTGAATGAAAAATAGTTTGCC